GGAAACTGCTCCTCTGCTGGTCAAAGCCAAAGCAGAGAGAAAATGCTCTGGTACGTAGTAGGATTTACAGACAGAAAACACAAGGAAAGACTTTTTGTTTATTTATTTATTTATTACCAAAAATTGCAAAATAGCTTTAGTCTTAGTGCATTTATCTCATCTTACAGATATTAAGATTTATTAACTTGCTCAAGCTAAAAAGCTTGTGCTTTGTACACGTCACTCTGGAGCAAAGCGCAGCTTCTGGATCTCTCTCCAGATCACTGTGGGTGCGCCCAGATCCTCCAGAGCGGCTCCTTCTGTCCTCTTACCGTGCTGTGATGGCCCTCTCTCCCACCATGTGCCTTCTCTTCTCTGCAGGAGCAAAATATTAACTCAATGGGCTCCCACCTCTGGCCAGTTGGTACTGCAGATTCCTTGAGATTTACATATGCAGCCTTTTCTTCTTGCTCTTAGTGTTGTTCAGGGAGCTTCTGTGTTCTTGGGGGTATTTTTGGAGGGGGGTAATTTTTGCTTTTTCCTATCCTACCCAGGAAAGTCTCTAGAGCAGATGAGGGCAAATACAAAGTTTTTTTTTTTTTTTTTTTTTTTAATTTAATACAGGGTTTACAGGGTCTCACCACTAGATTGGACTCATAGTAATTCTCCTATTTTCAGCCTCCCAAGTGTTAGGATTACAGGCGCATGCCACCATGCCCAATCTCAAAAGCAGTCTCAGCGTGTCCTGGAGGTGGGACCAGAATGGCACTCCAGGGATGGAACCCCCACAGCTGCACTCTGCCTAAGCAGGAACTTTAGTCTGCTGAGCTATCTGGCCAGCCCTTAAAAGTTCTAAAAATGCCCCATCCTGTGCCCTGCATCAGCGGCCTTGCTTCAGTGCAATGTCTAAAAAGTGTTTCTGCCTCCATTTCCAGTTTCACAGGAAATAGGAAAAACTTGGTACTAATACACACGATGGCCTCCACACTCAGTCCAGATACCTAGCCTGCTGCAGCTTTTTTAAACTTTAAATCCAGTTTTTATTTATTTATCTATTTTCTTAAAACCAAGACTATAGCATAAAGGAAAAAAATGCCCCTTTTTCCTATTGGTCTAATGTCTGTGCACTTTCATACCGATTCTCTCCGGTGGTACAGGTGGCACCAGCTGAGCTGGCTCCAGGCAGGGAGAACAGTTAGGGGGTGGCACTGGGAAGACTGGACCTTCACTCTGTATTTTCCACAAGCTTGCACTGTGACCTTGAGAAGGCTGTATTCTTTAAACCTAAAATCTCTATCAATAATTAAACACTTATTGAAAATCTACTCCATGCTGGGAATCACTAACATCAACTCTCAGGTCATTTTTTTTTTTTTTAATGATACAATGTAGCAAGCTTTATGCAAGGACATGAAAAACAGTGCCAGGAGTGGGGAGGAAAAAGATCTATCCCACCCTGCTTGCTCATTGAAAGGCAAATCTGTCAGGAAATATTCTTCTCAAAAGTATATGCTCTATAAGAGCGAGGGTCATGTTTTATTTGTTGATGTATTCCTAGCACCTTCAGCAATTCCATGGTGTTAGACCATAATCACAGGAAACCCATACAGATAATTAAAGAGTAGTGATTGCCAGAGGCTGGAGGGAAGAGTGAGACAGATGGGTAGAGTGTGGAGGAGGATTTTCAGAGTAATGAAACTATTTTACATTATGCTTTAATGACAGACATAGGTCATCATGCACTTGTCCAAACTCACTGATGGTACAACACCAATAGGGTGTACAACACCTAATTAAACCATAGACTTTGGTTAATGTGCTTATGGGTAAAGATGTGTGTCCATGTAGGTTCAGATATCTAAATGTATGACTTTAATTGTAAAAGAAGCTGTATATATGGAGAGGCAGCTGGAGTGTGGGAACTCTCTAAAATCTTTCTGTGAGCCTAGAATGGCTCTCAAACAATAAGATTTGTTTTTCAGCTAGGCCCAGGACATGAAGGGACCTATCTCCAAAAGAAGATATCCAAGTGTCTAATAAGTAAATGAAAAGCTAATCCATTCATTAGTCAGAAATCACTTTATACCACTGAGATGAGTACATTTTTTCAAAAAGGAAAAACAAAAGTTGCTGATTATTGGGAGAAATCATAACACTCTCCTTCCTATTGCTGGTAAGAAAGTAAAATGTTAGAGAACAAGTTTGGCCATTCATGTAAAGGTTACACATGGACTTACCGTACTACCCAGTGCTTCCGATCTAGGCATATGGCTAAGAGAATTAAGACACATATCCAAAACATAAACCTGGAAATGCATGTCCATAGCAGCATCAGCTGTAATAGCCAAATTCCATCCACTAATGAATACATAAACAGTGTGGTTACCCATACCATGAGACATTATTCAACCATAAAACAGCATATACTGATTCAGTGTTACAACATAAACCTTGAAAACCTTGATCGACCTTAGAAACGCCATTCCAAACCCAAGAGGTCACATTCTATATAAATGCGTTTATCAGGACTGTCCAGGATAAATAAAGCCAGAGACACAAATCAAAACAGTGGTTGCCAAGGAACTGGGATGGAGTAGGGGACAGAAATGACTGTGCAACGGGGATGAGGTTTCCTTCGGAGGTGATGAAAATTTTCTAGAATTGGACAACAGTGATTTTATGTACATCCTGTGTGTACCCAAACCCCACTGAATGATCAAATAATTAAAGTGGCAATTTTTACCTTACATGAATCCTACTGTGATTTAAAATTGCTTTGAAAGTTCAAACCAGATAAGGATGTAAGAAAACACTTACTCATAAAAATAAAGTTATAATCATTCTGTGCATAATAATTTAGGTTCATTAGAAACAAGCTAGCTTTCTATAGTTAGTCACAGAGACATGTAACCGTATAAAGCCAAGTCCCCTTGGGAGCTGGTCTCAGTGAAGCGTTATTTTCTACTCAACAAGAGTTGAAAAAAAGAAACAGTAATCTAGCCTCAAAATACTATGAAAGTATCTTTAATCTCTCAGGGTAATCACGTCACAAGTGGAAAGCAGTTTACCTCCACGCTGTCACATGCAGTGACTGAGCGCAGTCTCAGCCGATGCAGCATCTGTACCCTGTTGGTCTGGGTTGAATTTAGCTTTTCCACACATACACACATTTCCCTGGGCAAGTCAGTGATTTAATTTTTTGTGTGTGTGCTTTATTTTCTATAGGCTAATTATAGCACCAGGGCTGCTGAGGGTTACATAAGTGAGAGGAGCTTGGCATAACCTTAGCCCTCAATGAATGTTAGCAAACAAAATCCACCATCTTGTTCCCTGTCACCCTTAACCCCCGGAACCTGTTAACCTTCTTCTGCCTTCTGCCCTCAAGCCCTGCCTGTCAGCCCCACAGTCTCCCCTTTTTGCCTCCATTGCCATGTGGTGTATGTGGCTGGTAACTTTTGCTTTTTCCAAGACAAACGCACAGCAAGGCCACTGTGCCCCCCTCTGTCTTCTCCCCTCTTCCTTCCAGCCCCCACAGGTGCTCAGTACTCAGAATCTCCCTTAGCAGGCAGAGGAGAAATTGGTGACTGTGTGAACGGATGTGGCCTTTAGCAGGGTGGGTGTACTCCAGTGCGGTGGGACAGGGCCATGTTCCTTCTGCATCAGCTAGCAAGCATCACTGTGCGCCTAGTCTTATACTAAGGGCTTCACACATCATCTCATTCCAAGTTTGTTTCCCCGTATTTTCAAAACTGTCCATAATGAATATGTCACTTCTATAACCAGAACATGTTATCCTCTATACACATGTAGTCACAAAATGGGGGGGGGCTATTAAGATGGAAGTCAAGTTGCTGAAGGTTGGAGGAACTACTGTAGCAGTTCTTGTTCTGTGGGTTGTTTTTTTTTTTTTTGTGTGTGTGTGTGTATTTTAGGGAAGGGTGTACAGGGTGTTCAGGGTCTCACTACTAGATCAGACTTGTAGTGATCTGCCTGTTTACAGCCTCCCGAGAGCTGGGATTACAGGCCCATGCCACCACGCCCAGTCTCAGTCGCCATCTCAGCGCCCCTGGGGGTGGGGCCAGCGTGGCAGGCCTGGAGATGGAACCCCTAGCCCCCTCGCCTGCTTGCAGGCTTATTGTTTTGTTTTTGAGACCTGGTTTTACTAGGTAGTTTAAGCTGGTCTTGAACTCACCATGTGGTCCACGTGACCTCCAAGTTATGGTGCTCCTTCTGCCTCCACCTCCTAAGTGCTGGTATTACAGATGTGCACCACCACTCCAGGCTTTATGCTGCCAAAAGCATGGAAGGCGTTTTATGTGGAAAGGCAAGGCTTGTCGAATTCAGACACTGTAGCTATCATCAGCTTTCTGAAAGGCGGTGGGAAGAGGGCTTGTGAACTTGGTTCAGGGCCATCTCAAAAGGTGAATTCGAATCAATGAGAGTAAATTCTAGGGAAGGAAGTTTTTGCTTGGTATAATAATTTTTTTTTTTTTTTTTTTTTTTTTTTTTAACCAGGGACTGAACTCAGGCCCTTGTGCTTGCCAGGGAAGCGCTTATTCCACTGAGCCATCTCCCGGCCCCATGTTATTTTAAAAATTCTTTTCCAAATGGCCATTCATCAAAATCAACAAGTTTTATGGATTTGTGCATCCGGAAAAAGGTTGGAGAAGTCTAAGATCATTTTAAACTCTGAAAATGTTTATGTGACACTAGATTTATAGTAATGCAGGCCAATCAGTAGAATCAAGGGCGTGTGTGTGTGTGTGTGTGTGTGTGTGTGTGCAGTGTGGTGTGTTGTTGTTGTTGTGTGTGTGTGTGTGTGTGTGTGTGTGGTGTGGTGTGTTGTGTTGTCTGGGTAAGTGAGGAGAAACGTGCATATGGGTTGCCTCGGTACAATGCTAATCTATTAAGTACCGGTGAGGACTGAAGCGGAGAGGCCTGTTTATGCAGCAATTAGGGAAATGTCGCGGGATGGTCAGGGCTGCTGTCCCAGCTCAGGTGAGTCGCGCCGCACTCTCCCGGCGGCTCCCTATTAGGGTCGCTTGCATAATTCCTTCCCTGCCCCAGGCTCTGCCTTGCCCTGGGAGTGGGGCTCCCTGATCCTCCCCGTCCTCGCTCTTCAGAACCGAGCGGCTGCCGGTTCACTTTCTCCGGCACAGATCTTCCCGGATTGCTTTGCCTCGGTCCCAGCCGCCCCGTGTCGCCACCGGCTGTTACAGAGTCACCGTCGCCCAGCGAGTGCTCCGCGGGTCTGGGGCTCCACATCTCGGCGCACAGTGCGTTCTTCCTTCGGGTAGGTGCCCGGGTCCCTGCCGCTCCCACTCCGACCCCGACCCCGACCCCGACCCTGGGAAGCACGATGGGGCTCGGTCTGGTTGAAGCGATAAGCAGCGTTGGAGGAGCGCGGGAGGGGGCTGGGGGGGCGGTGTCTCCACTGTGGGCTCCACTGCTCGCGGCCTCCGAGCCGCTGCGTCCCAGCTCTCCAGGGCTGGAGGGTGGTACGGCCACTGCAGACCCCGGGAGAGCTAAAAGGGGACACATCCAGGACCCTCGGACTCCGCCCAGGCCCTGCTGGACCCCCGGGATCCCCAGGTGAAGGCACAGCTGACCCATGCGAGAGTCGGTGGCGGTGGCGGTAATGGTGATGGTGACGCAGCCGCGCGCTAGGTCTGGGGTCCTGGGGCCACGGGTGGGGTCTGGCGCGGAGGTCCTGTGTGAAGTCTCGGGCCACCCTACAGGGGGCGCCGCTTTCCAGAGCCCTCGCCTCGCCTTGCCATTCTAGGCCGGTCTCGCGTCCCCCTGGTGGCTGCAGGTGCAGGGACCCGGGTAGGCTCAGATCGCAGGGTGGGGAGCGCACTTGGGGATTCCGCCTCTGGCTTCCGCTAGCAATCATGGTTTGGGACCTAAAAATTACCCGGGCTGGACGCGGACGGTGGGCGCTGCACGGTTACGGGGTCCCGGGTGCCTCGTACTCCAGAGGCCTACCAAGGTGTCTGGGTTTTATTCCAGTTTGGGATTAACTCCGGGTAAAACAGTGGTGGCTGCCTTTCCAGTCCTCATTGATGCAGCAGAGTGTGGCTCGCATCCATTCCTGCAACTTGCAGGGAGAGCACGGGGCCAAGGGTGTCTAATGAGCCCACCGCTGGGCTAGAGGTGTTTATCCTGTTTTAGTGGGCAAACTTTCTGGGTTACTCTGCGTTAAAGAGCCCTCCATCTCTCAGGCGTGGAAATGAAAGGATGTGACAACCATTGGCTCCAACTTCGTCCCTCTCCAGCAAGGACGGCATTTGGGCAGACTGAGGCATTAGGAAAGTGGGACATTGGTACTGTGTGGCCCAACTTTCACACCTGCACCACCCTCAGTGACACTGACTTTGAAACGCGGGGCAGATGTGGCACAAGCACAGGGTGACACTCACCGGCCCCCCACATCTGGGGGCACAGGGAAGATAGATGGGCACTGGAAAGCTGAAGGCTGGGAAGCAGGTGGCTGCTGACTGGGGCAGGCAGGGAGTGGATATTTGGCTGACTTCTGCGCAGCCATTGATCTCGTTAGCCTCCGAGCTATTCTCTTAAGTGCAATCAGCCTTTGAGTTCAATTCATCTAAACTGTGAGCTGCCCTTTGCTTTCCAATGGGCTGTAAATCGAACAAGCAGTTATTGAACAACTATTGCCTGAGGCCAGGCCTAGGATTGTTCTGAAATAAAGGGCCGGGGATTTCAAAAGCACTGCAAGTTCCTGTAATGCAAGGGTCCCACAGAGCCTGGGAGCGTGAGGCCCTTTCCCAGCGAGGAGCACTGAATAGACCAAGTGGGGACTGGGGCCCTCTCACCTGCAAGTCTCCATCACTTGCTTTTGGGAATCACTTGCACCACTGTGCGTCCATAGCCATGCCTGGTGCGGGTGGCATTTTCTACAGGACCAACTCCGACCTCAGGGAGGTCCCATTTTCCTCTGCCGTTTTCTTTCTGTGCCATCCACTCAACTGATGCCATCCCCTGTGTGCTGTGTAAGCCCCTGCCAGGGCTCGAAAGAAGAGGCCTTTGTTGCCCAGAAACCAGACTAGCAGAAGGGAGGGATGGGGGATAGGTGATAGTGACTCTGCATGGTGAGCATGCAGTGCAGATAAGAACAAGTCGGGCGGGGGAGACAGCGCAGCAGTCTAGGCACCTGACTGGCAAGCACAAGGACCTGGGTTCGATCCGCGGTATTGCGTGCCATGCTGGCCTCTGTGTAGCGCAAGCCACAGAAACCAGGAGTGGTGGTGCATGCCTGTAATCCCAGCACTGGGGAGGCTGAGACAGGAGAACCACTGTGAGTCTGAGCTGTGTACTGAGACCCTGTACAAAAAAAAGAAGAAAAAAAAAAAAGAACAAGTGGTGGGATCCCAGGGAAGGTGGGGTGACAAGGGATTAGGAAGAGTCTGCAGGAGGCTCTGGTTCTGACTGGATCTTAAGGAGTGGTCAGAGGGCTCCAGAGCAGACACTGGGTGTCCTGTGTGCACAGGACATCTAGGGGTCTGAGGTGCAGGTGTCAGGGAGCTGGAGGAGGTTGCAGTCAGCCTGGGGCAGCCTCCGTCCTGGAAGCGAAAACCTGCAGACCTTATGGGAGAATGATTTACTCTAATGTATAGTTTGAAAAATGACTCTGTAGGTGGTAAGCTCGGATTAGAGTGGGGCAGGCAAGGAAAGAGACACAGCAAACAGGGAGAGAAATCTGCAGAGACCTGTGCAGAGGAGGAATCTGGGCTACTTGGTCACTGGGTGGGCAGAGGGCTGGGGAGAGGAGCTTAGGTACTGAGGAGGATGCTCGGGCTTTTAGCTGAATTAGATCGTTAAAGAGAAAGAGCAAGTCTGAGAAAGGCAGGGAATTTTAATTTTGAACGACTACATGAAATTGCTCAGGAGGCACTTGTGTTTCTACCTACCTGGTGCTAACCTTTGGCTGAGCTTCCTTATCTGTGGCATTTGGAGAAGGAGAAGGTGAACCAGGGAACAGGAAGCTGTTCCTGCGTTGATCTCCAAGAGTGAATGTATTAACGCGATCATTCCCGCTGCCTCTCCTGGCCATGTGTGAATAATGATAATAATGTCTGACATTCACTCAACTCTTCCTGTGAGTGGAGCACATGGAAGTTAGGCTTGTCTAGAGACTGTCGCCCGGGCCCTGCTGCTGACCTGTGGCAGGCACTGCTGTCATTCTCAGGTAACTGAAAAGGAAATCTGGGGATGAAAAGGTGCTTGTGTGGGTCACTCCATTAGGAAGAGGCGCTTTAACTCGGGGTGGGAGCCCGATCTGAACAACACTCTGAATTGCCAATGTGACTTCCCCAGTTACATTACAATCACTCCTACTTGGTCTGAAATGAGTTCTGTCCTTATGTTTGGGTATTTGGGACTGATGCCATACGAACTGGGACTGAGTCAGGTGGCCTGATATTCTGTAGCTTTAAAAAAAATTATTTATTTATTGTTTGTTGGTATAGGGTCTCGCTACACAGCTTGGACTTACAGTAATCCTCCTGTCTCAGCCTCCCCAAAGCTGGGATTACAGGTGTGCGTCACCATGCCTGGTTTTGGTGGCTGTCTCGGCACATGGGGCCGGCACAGCATGCGGTACCGGGGATCAAACCTGGGAGCTTACACTTGCCTGGCAGGCACTTTGACCACTGAGCTATTTCCCCGGCCATATTCTGTAGCTTTTGTAAGCTTGCATCCTAGTTCAGGCTCTGGTAATGTTAAATCTGTCTCACCCTGGACAGGACGTCAGCTCGATGCTGTCTAAGGACCCTCTGCATCTTGAAATCTCACCACCCTATTAAAATTCTCCTAGACCCTTTGGTTTGACTTAAGATGATGCCGGCCTTGCTGTTTTTATAATAAGATACTAAGGGGAGGATTAACTCAAATAGTGGCTTGTTTTTAACAGCTTCTGTGAATGGGCACAGAATACAGACAGGGGGGCAGTGCCTGGTGTTGGGGCCTGCCTGGGCCTAGCACAGGGAAATCTTTGAAGTCACTGACCACATTCTTTATCTTAGAATGTGCTACTTGAACTGAGAGCATTTCCTCAGGGCTGAAAAACTGGACAATGAATATACATGTCATAAAGTTGATGGTGAGGGTCAGAACAGAAAATACAGACCAGATATTGTTTACAAATTGGCCTCACTGACCATACCTAGAAAATGGGGCTCCCCATCCTTTGTCCCCAGGGTAGCAGACACAGAGGAAGAGAAGGTACAGTATTTCTGAAGCCAAACTTTCCCACTGGGAAGGCTCCATAAGAACCATTCTTTGATTAAGTGTCATCTGCCCATCTTAGAAAAATGACATGGGGACTATAGAAGGAGACAACACATGGCATGCCTTTCCAATGTGAATCTCTCAAATACTCATTAAAATATTGCCCTCTTATATGTAAGGAGCATTTTACCCAGCTGAGTTTTGGATTCTTCTTTTTCTAGACTGCGTAAGGAAAACAAGTTGTTGTAAAGAAACATTACTGCCTACGGTTGAGAATTCACTTATTGTGGTGTAGACTGGAAGGGGTGAAGTAGCTCCCTGCTCGGTATGCACCCGTGTGCACATTTTGCATTGCTACCATCCTGAGGCCTTTCCCGCCTCTGACTGTAGAATGCTGTCCTTGTGTTCCCAAACGCGAAGTGTCACGCACTGTAGGCTAAGCTAATTCATCCAGTTGAGGAGCGAAAGAGTATCAAGCTTGACTGAAACTGCTTTTGGAACATAACCAGTAATAGGACTAGGGATGGCACTTTTTAGAAGTTAAGGAATGCTTCCCAAAATAGCTCCAATTTCCTGCAATTCAGAACGGTCCCAGAAATATGTCATGGAGAAAGAAGGGGCTTCATGGTCATATCTGATCTTCCCAAGCTCAGCAGACAATGAAACAAGGAAAGAAAAACAGGGTCCCCAAGCTTTGCAAAAAGAATAATAAGTAAATAAATAAATAAAAAGCACACACACATAAGAGCACACTTTCCTGATTATTTTTGGACAAAAGAATTATGTAGTTTTTGAGCTCCATGTAGCTTGTGTCACTCTTGCCTTCGTTCTTGGTGAGAATAGCTACTTCATGAGTTCATGTGACAGTTGGGCCTGCTGCAAAGCCTTATAAATATCCTGGGGCCATGGGCCATGCCTTGAACTTCTCGTACCCTGTTGGGACGCAGCGTAAAAAGCATGAAGTTGGCAGGAAAGGCTGGGATTCCAGTCTCGGGGCTGTCACTTCCCAGCTATGTGACCTTGAGCTTCCCATCAACCTCATAAGTC